ATGTGTTTTTTTAGAGGAAGCTGGCACAAATGTGACGTGGGCTGCTGGTGGTAGCACAGTTTCAGCTGTTGGCATCTTTGGAGTGGTACTTGTTGTATGGAAACTGGGAGGGTTTAAACTTCTATCGGCATCTTTAAAAGTTAACTGCTGTTACACTCACGAAGGTAAAAGGAAAATTTACTTGCGTTATTAACAATTTTTTATTTAAACTAATCGTAAACAGATCTGTACATCTAGATCATTTTTGTTTCTTACAAATGCTACTGATTCAAATCTATTTTATAATTTAACTTTTAAAACAATACGAAACTGAAAATGTATATGCAAACTACAAAGGCTATCGACAGACTCGCGATCAGATTTTGTCTTTTGGTGAAAATCAATGTTGCTTAGTTTACAAACTGTTATGTATTATACATTTTAATTCTTTTAATCTTTAACATACATTTGTAAATAATCTTCTTAATTCTCAGTACAAAGCGAACCACGGCTAGAGAGAGACGTCGTCGTCCGAATTGAATTGAAGGTGTAGAAAAAAAGTTAAAGAAAAAGTTGGAGGGAGGAGTTGAAGTTGTTGGAGCAAAATGTTGAAGAAGTTGTAGGATAGAGTTTAGGAAGCTGGAGCAAAACGTTGAAGAAGTTGTAGGAAAGAGTTTAGGAAGCTGGAGCAAAACGTTGAAGAAGTTGTAGGAAAGAGTTTAGGAAGCATTAGAAAAATTATAGTTAACAGGTCACAAAACAGAAAGGGGAATAACTATTTCACAGGTCTCTTTATCCATATAAAATGTGTAGTTGCCCTTTTAAACTTCAACCTATTATATTGGCCAAATTGTTGTAAGGAAGAGCGTTATACAAATGCACTCAGATAGTTCACATTATATGATTATATCGAAACGAATTCATAGTTAGGTCATGAGGGTTTCCAAAATTCATGGAGTTGACAAGATGGTAGAAACATTGTTACAGCAAGTTTCACACCAAAATATGGAAACTTCACGCAGTTTGATTTTTTTTAAATTATCGGAAATTTTTAAAACTAAAATCTACTTAATAAAAACAATGATTATATAACCAAAACATTTTCGTATTTTTAGATTTCTTTTAAAAAGTACTAGCTCCACAACTCTCTGCGGGATATTAATTAACAAATAGTTCAAGAATGAAAAAAAATAATGCTTTAGTATTGAAACAATGGCAAAAACCGATGTATAAAGTTAAAACAACAAATAGAAAAATTATGAAGAAACAAATATTGTGTAAAATATTATTTTTATTTTAAGTTTTATCTGATGCATAAGATCTCTTGGTCCATCACAACAACGTATTTATGACCATAATAATTGTAATATTTAAAATTTAGAATTGCATTAGAAGTAACATAGTCAAGCTAATGCGCGCACTTGAGAATAGTTTAAAAAATATAAAACAAAATATCTGTGGTACAAATTATTGAGGATGTACTCAAACGATTCAACTCTACCACACAAAAAATACATAATAAGACAAGAAAGAATATATAATTATTTTCAAATTCGACTTTTAATTGCGTACACATTTTTACTTTCTATTAAAATATTTTTTAAAATAATGTTTTATTTATAATTTCTTTAAGTTCAAAAGCTAAAAGATGTAAATATTTAAAAAAAATTCATTCTAACTGCTTAGATATATTATGAAACGTTATTTTTCCTATCAATTTAATCGTTTGTTTTATATGTTATACACTCGAGGCTGAATTTTACTGAATACTGAAATAAGGTTAATATTATGTTAGAATGACCATTCCCACTTTTATGTTAAGGGACGCTACTCGAAAAGTTATGGTATATGTATTTACGAATACAGAAAACTAGTCTGATCCAATATAATTGATCTAATCAATAATATAGTGAATTTATTTATTTTGTATAATTTAACCTATATCTATAGCAATCTATACCTCTGCTGAAAAGATAAACGGTTGAAAAACTGTAAAAAAAATTCTGTGGTACAAAGTATTGATGATTTAAAATTTAATCAAACCTTTCAACTCTGTCACACAAAATCACATAATAAGACAAGACATAATATCAAATGTAATTATTTTCAAACTAGACTTTTCTTTGCGTACAAATTTTAGAGCATTACATTGTCACTGCCTATCATAAAAACGTTTCATTTTTAGTTACTTTGATCAGACAACGCTGATATTATTAAAAGATTAAAAAATATCGATGCAGACATTTAGGAAATCTGTCGGTCAGATTATTCGCAAAAAAATGACAGCGTATATAAATCTTCCTTTTATGAGCTATATATCTAAAGAAGGTTCTTCTCGATGACTTACCCTTTAACCCGATATAAAGTAAAGAATCCTATTTAGATCTAGTGATCCATTGGGCAGATGAAGTAGAGTTCATGCGTTTCTTGACCTCGGCATATGAAAGGAAGCTGTGGTCAGCACTTTGCCCAGCCGCCTTTACTTTCCCTGAGTTAGGTACCCATCAGAGCTGGGTGGACTCAGGGATGTTCTATTGACTTGGACCCGGATTCGGACTTGTAACCCTATATAATCATTGTAAATTTGGTAAAAAACAAAGGCACATTTTCGAAAAAAAAACCAATTTTCGGATACTTAATCTCTGCACATCTAGCTAATTTTTTTTTTTTGCATTGACCTTGGTATGTAAATAGCACAATTGGGAAGCTGTCGGCCAAGCTCTACAGTCTCAGCAAAGGGGTAAGACGTGACCTCGAGTAAAATTATCCTTATAAGGGATATGTATTGAAAACTAATTTTTTTCTCGACAACCTCCCCCCACCCCTATATATTTTGTAAGGTGGAGACTGATCCCCGAGTATTAGGGGAAACAAATCGGTGTGTGCTTTTAGACGCAAGATGTCAACACTAGGAATGGTGTATCAAGTAGTTTATGATAACAACCTAAACATGATGTAGTGTAGGTTATGATAACACAAACCCTAAACATGATGTATGAAGCAGGTTTTGATAACAGTAAACCGAAACATGATGTAGTGTAGGTTTTGATAACACTGAACCTAAATATGATGTAGTGTAGGTTTTGATAACACTGAACCTAAACATGATGTATGAAGCAGGTTTTGATGACACTAAACCGAAACATGTTGTATCAAGTAGGTTTGTATCAAGTAGGTTTTGATAACACTAAAACGTTTCAGTGAAGTTAAATGAATGTGCTCTTGAACCAGAGTAAGGGAAGTAAATACATTTAAATGGGTACAGCAACAAGGGCAACTCAAGTAGGTTTTGATAACACAAACCCTTAACATGATGTATCAAGTAGGTTTTGATAACACTGAACCTAAATATGATGTATGAAGCAGGTTTTGATAACACTAAACCGAAACATATTGTATCAAGTAGGTTTGTATCAAGTAGGTTTGGATAACACTAAACCTAAACAGGTTGTATTAAGTAGGTTTTGATAACACAAACCCTAAACATGATGTATCAAGTAGGTTTGTATCAAGTAGGTTTGGATTACACTAAACCTAAACATGTTGTAGTGTAGGTTTTGATAACACTAAACCTAAACATGATGTATGAAGCAGGTTTTGATAACAGTAAACCGAAACATGCTGTATCAAGTAGGTTTGTATCAAGTAGTTTTGGATAACACTAAACCTAAACAGGTTGTATTAAGTAGGTTTTGATAACACAAACCCTAAACATGATGTATGAAGCAGGTTTTGATAACACTAAACCGAAACATGCTGTATCAAGTAGGTTTGTATCAAGTAGTTTTGGATAACACTAAACCTAAACAGGTTGTATTAAGTAGGTTTTGATAACACAAACCCTAAACATGATGTATGAAGCAGGTTTTGATAACACTAAACCGAAACATGTTGTATCAAGTAGGTTTGTATCAAGTAGGTTTGGATTACACTAAACCTAAACATGTTGTAGTGTAGGTTTTGATAACACTGAACCTAAATATGATGTATCAAGTAGGTTTTGACAACACTAAAACGTTTCATTGAAGTAAAATGTATGTGCTCTTGAACCAGAGTAAGGGAAGTAAATACATTTAAATGGGTACAGCAACAAGTGCAGCTCAACGGTTTTCTTCGTATCTGATAAAGTAGGGGAGCTAACAATGACAAAACAAAAATAACATTGATCGATAAAGGTTAATTCCCTTGCTTTACTAAGTCTAAAGCCAAACGCAATGAAGAGAGGACAAAACAAAAAAGTTAAATTGTTTTAATGATTAATTTAATATCTAATTAGATGATTAATTAGACATGCGAAAATGCGAGATCCCATTATCTTTTAAAAGGGTGTGGGGTTGGGGTCAAATTACAAGATTTGACTAAAATAAAAAAAATAAAAAAGCATAACGGGTGACTATAGAAGTCGCTTGGGTTTGACTTCAGAGCGTCGACGAACATTCGTTTAAACACACAACAATGATCTACTGACGAGATTGAACGAAAGTGTCTTTTATAGATGGGGAGGGGTGGGGATAAGATTTAGGGACAAAGTACCTACGATCAAGTGAGAGGGGTGGGGGTGATTGAATTAAAGCAAACGCTGTTTGGAATTTGGACAATAAAAGCGCTTTTGTTCGTTCGAATTATTGTTATATTTTCTGTAGTGTGTGATGGTTGGGCTTTTTAAACATCATTTTAGATGAGGTCTAGTTTTATAAGTAGACTTATGATCGGGTGAAAGGTGTGGGGAGAGTAAATATTAGCAACATTTGCGCGACGCTGTTTATGGAACCACCAAATTGACTGCACGCAAGGTAAGAAGACAAATGTGTATATTCACGGAATTCGTTTTCTTATCCGCATTTTAATTGAATAGCAGTGTAGCACATTCTTGGTTTAAAATTAGTGGTAAGATAATCATAATACTGAACAAGTTGAACGTCTAGTATATATATATATATATATATATATATATATATATATATATATATATATATATATATATATATATATATATATATATATATATATATATACGCACACTCGCACGCACACACACGCACACCTTTATATATATACAAATCAGGTGTGTTACTGCGATCATAACAATAAATAATCGAATCGCGGTGATTGAGGAGATTGAGATGACAATCACCAGAGGTTTTTCAGGGGTGTTGAACATACCAATCGATACACAACTTTTACATGTAATATAGGCCATCTAAATTTGGAATCAAGATAACAAGGTGTGGTGGGCAAATGCAATGTTACCCTGAGATTTCCCCATAGGGGTGAGTATCTACGTGGATACCACCACGCTTGCGGAGAGGGTTAGGATAATCGTCCTTCACGAGCTAATGATAGTGGTTTAAAGCAAAATATTTTTAGTCGCAACATTGGTAGAGTCGAATTTTACAAATTATAAATTACTGAAAAGTAGAAAACAAAACAACTAGATAGCGGCGTTTGCTACGCCCATTGTCAGCTCGTATCTGAATAAAAGAACATTTTTAAAAAAAATACAATTTTTATGATGTTTTTTAAATGGGAAACATTTTTTTAAAACTAAAGATGCGCTCACCTCATTTTCATTCAGGGAATTGGGCTGTCCAGTTCAAGTAAATAACGTTATTACGTCTTTAAATAGACCTGACACAACTCTTTCAAATAATATTTCAAATGTTATTTTCCCGTCTCATAAAGATGACAAAGTTGTTGAAATTTTTAGTAGATTACTATAAACAGGTATTCAAAAGTACAAACTCTCCTTCATGGGTTCGTGTGTTAAAATATCTAACGTCTAAAATAACACAGAACCCAACCTTTCTAGGTAAATACCACATTTGGGCTATTGTCGCTAGCCCTATATAACGTTGAGTCCAAATTACGTGATTTTGTCCTTTGCTGCTACATTACTTTCAGTCCAAAGTAAATAGTTTACGACAGTAGCCGTTTACATTATTTTATCATAAAATTGTAGACTAGAAAAGAACACATATTTGAAAGAAACAATCTAACAAAATGGAAAAACAAAGTAATAACAAGTACATATTATTCGTAATAAATACGAAAAAGTTTTGCCTTGACACTAAAATTGAAATTCAATTATCTAACTGTAAGTGTAAACTGATTTAAAAAAAATACTTTTTGTGATTATATTTTTAAAAAATTATTCTTACTAATGGCAAAAACAAGCCATTATCAAGTAACAAAAATCGCATTTAAATTACATTAATACTTAGCAACAATGACGATATATGATACGCTAACAATTAATACCCAGTATAATAAAACCTAACTAGGATCTTTGTCGTTGATTAACAAAAGACATGTTGGGTACACAGGGTCCTGACTTTCCTCCAGAATTATTTTTGTCAAATCTTCGTTGGGTCTCAGCTGATGTTTCTTGAGCCTTGGGGTGGTGAGTAGCCTCAAACGCTGGGGGTAGGGCAGTGGGTAAATATAGGATGATTGTAGAAATCATTGGTGGAAATAGGATGATTGTAGAATCAAGTGTCAAAATTGGATGATTATAGAAACCATTGGTGAAAATAATATAATTGTAGAATCAGTAGTGAAAATAGGATGATTATAGAATCAATGGTGAAAAAAGGATAATTGTAGAATCAATGGTGAAAATAGATTATAGAATCAATGGTGAAAATAGATTATATAATTAGTGGTGAAAATGGGATGATTGTAGAATCAATTATGAAAATGATTATAGAATTAGTGCTGAAAATATATAAGGGGGTCATCCAAAAATGACGTCACGCTTTTTTGACGAATTTTTTCCTCCCCCCTCCCCTCCGTCACACGTCGTCTCAAAAAGCCAGACCCCACCTAAAATGACGTCATACCTCAACCTACAACCCCCCCCCCTCAAAATTGCAGTTGAATTTTTTTAAAACATCGATATTTTTCCAAAATCTTGTCTAAACTATTACAATTTATTAAAACAGTTATCTAAAGCGCGAAATAACGTCTAAAATTCGTTTTCTAACATTGCTTTTTTATAATGCAAAAATGTGACGTCGCAACATCTGAACCCCCACCCCTCCCCCTCATCACACATCGTCACAAAATTACGGACCCCCCTCCCACCCTACGAGTGTGACGTCATTTATGGACGACCCCTAAGAAACTATGACACCTGGTCAGATCTGACAACCTTACAGCTTGGCTTTTCCGAAGGTCTTCTTCTTCGTTCTTAATTTTTAGTGTTGGAAGGGATCGAGCCTTATCTGCCAGATGGTTTGAAGTCGAGACTTTTCGGGTTAGCAACCATGAGCTTTACCGACTCGACCACGCCGACCCTTCCGAAGGTAAAGCATTTTTTTGTATCCCCCCTCCCCCGGAGGGTCAATCTACAACTTCTCGAATTGACAAAAGGTTTTGACGTTGGGATTCTATTCCGATATATAGCTGATACAGGGCGCTGGTCAGTTTATGTCAGTCTTTTGCACTCGTCGAGTAGAGGTAGACTGAAAAAGGACGATGAAGGTCGGGATAACTACCCCACTTACCTGTACTAGTGTCCCTGGCGTCACCATCAAGCCCTGGACCATGAAGACGGGTATCAAGACCACACTGACCAGCGCCAATGTCCAGCCAATCCCGATAGCCCAGGACGGGAAGACGTAGGTGACGAACTTCCGCTTATAATCGACCTCGGAGTAGCTGACACAGCCCAGGGTGAAGATGGCCTGATGGGTACAGGATAAAATATTTCACATTCCCAAAATAAATATTACAAGTTCCCAAAATAAAGATTACAAGTTCCCAAAAAAATATTACATATTCCCAAACAAAATCCAACAAGTAACCAGACATCAGAGGCGTAGCCAGGATCGTCTCAAGGGTGGGGGTTTCCAATTTTTACCCAGGGGACAAACTTTCGATTTGCACCCCCCCTCAAACTATATATATATATATATATATATATATATATATATATATATATATATATATATATATATATATATATATATATATATATATATATATATATATATATATATATATATATATATATATATATATATATATATACCGAGGGGTCTATGGGGGAGGGGGTTATGACCCCCCTTACCCCCCCTGCCTACGCCACTGCCAGACATAATCTTACAAGTTCCCAAACAAAATCTTACATGTAACCGACATAATCTTGAAAGTTAAAAGCCATAAACGTGTTAGTTATTTATAGGTGTTCAAGCTAGAGATTTGACCTGGTTGGTGGTGGTGTTCGCTAACTCTCGACCACCATGTCACTATCTTCAATTAGCTTGTAATTCTATGGTATCAAAATACCGATACAATGAAAGTGATTTTAAGTTTTGTAAAGTAGTGTCGTAAAGAAATAAGATCCTACCAGAGTGTAGAAGGGACTGAGAAACGCCCAAAAGACCCGGATGTACCACCTGAACAGTTTTGTTCCCAACTTGTGCTGGAACCCAAACATGATGATCAGGTTGTCACAGAATCGATCAACACCTGGGTAGATAACATTCATTTACTGTAAGTCTATTCAACTTTGATGGTTACATGTAATATGTTAAAGTCTCATTAAAATAGCTGGTTACAAGCGACTAATAGACTGTCAACCCTACCATAGACATAGACGACAACCAGACACTCAACCACAGCCACCTACCATAGACATAGGCGACAACTAGACACTCAACAACAGCCACCTACCATAGACATAGGCGACAACCAGACACTCAACCACCTACCATAGACATAAGCGACAACTAGACAACCACATCCACCTACCATAGACATAGGCGACAACTAGACAACCACAACCACCTACCATAGACATAGGCGACAACTAGACACTCAACAACAGCCACCTACCATAGACATAGACGACAACTAGACACTCAACCACCTAACAGAGACATAGACGACAACTAGACAACCACATCCACCTACCATAGACATAGACGACAACCACAACCACCTACCATAGACATAGGCCACAACTAGACACTCAACCACATCCACCTACCATAGACATAGGCGACAACTAGACACTCAACCACCTACCATAGACATAGGCGACAACTAGACAACCAAATACACCTACCATAGACATAGGCGACAACTAGACACTCAACCACATCCACTTCCATAGACATAGGCGACAACTAGACAACCACAACCACCTACCTTAGACATAGGCGACAACTAGACACTCAACCACCTACCATAAACATAGACGACAACTAGGCACTCAACCACCTACCATGGACATAGACGACAAATAGACACTCAACCACCTATAGTAGATGACAACTAGACACTCAAAAACCTACCATAGACATAGACGACAACTAGACAACCACATCCACCTACCATAGACATAGACGACAACTAGACACCCAACCACCTACCGTAGACGAAAACTAGACACTCAACAACCTACCATAGACATAGGCGAAAACTAGACAACCACATCCACCTACCATAGACATAGGCGACAACTAGACACTCAACCACAGCCACCACCATCACGATCCTGCTGGCTGAGTAGTAATCAAAAAGTTGGAACACGTACATCCCACCCTGAAACAATTCTCAAATATATATATATATATATATATATATATATATATATATATATATATATATATATATATATATATATATATATATGTTCTACATTACAGTAAAATAGCTTTATAATGAATATGCGATTGAAATGAGGCAGGTAAAACAATGACTTAGCGCGAACTAAATCTTACATACAACACAGCTGAGTTCTAGGAAACATGAGCGCTATCTTGTGTTTACCAATACACATTCAGTCCAGGAAAACAATGGTTGCTTCCAGCCACCACAGTTTACTACCGCTTTAGCCGATTACTGATGTTATGGCTAAGACTGGGCTAGCCAGAAGTCTTGGCTGGCCAGAAGAATAGGCTGGCCAGAAGAATAGGCTGGCCAGAAGAATAGGCTGGCCAGAAGACTAGGCTAGCCAGAAGACTAGGCTAGCCAGAAGACTAGGCTATCCAGAAGACTAGGCTAGCCAGAAGACTAGGCTAGCCAGAAAGTGATAAAGGCGGTACCATGCTTCAATTATACATTGTATTGCGGTGATCGTTAATAAATAATTCTTGTGACGAGTACTCACCTCAGTGACCATCGACAGACCGATGATGTAGCAGACGACACAGACTATAGCCGTGAACATTTCTTTGCGGTAGCCCCGTCTTAAGACGTCTGGACACAGGTCAACACAGGCGGTGATGAAACCCTCGACCCCAACAAACTGAAACACGTTTGGTCAGACATGAGCTTGTTTTCACCGTTAAAATATTCGAGAACGCTGATGCATGATGGTTAACAAACCAGAGAACAGAATGACTCGATTGAAATACACAAGAAGGCTAAATACAATTGTTGGTTGACTATCTATTTAAAATATTCATATTGTAGTTTGTATCCCAGCAACTTAGCCGTGGCTTTTAAAGCTTTGTCCCCCTCTCTGGCTCGGGATGGTGAGGTATGGCTATAATACATTAATCTGGCAGTAGGACCTAATGACCTACCTACCTCTCTATGATCTAATGACCTACCAACCTGTCTATGACCTAATGACCTACCCACCTGACTATCCAAGCCGAGCAGTATGACCTAATGACCTACCAACCTGCCTATGACCTAATGACCTACCAACCTGCCTATGACCTAATGACCTTCCAACCTGCCTATGACCTAATGACCTACCAACCTGCCTATGATCTAATGACCTACCAATCTGACAATGACCTACCTACCTGACTATCCAGGCCTAGCAGTATGATCAAATGACCTACCAACCTGTCTATGACCTAATGACCTACCCACCTGACTATCCAAGCCTAACAGTATGAGCATGATGAAGAAACAAGCCGACCAAAACGGCGCTAAAGGCATCTGGGAAACAGCTTCAGGGTAGGCAATGAAGGCCAGGCCTGGACCTGGGGAAACAGTTATCGTTCTTGATTTTACAAAGTCTCCTTATTTTTTTTTAATGTATATCAATTAAAACTATTTTTTGACATATAACTTGAACAGTTTAACTGTGTTACTTAACGACATTAAAAAAGGATAATGAGCTCACCTGACTCGGCAACGTCCTCTACTGAAACATTTTGTTTGAAGGCCATGAAGCCTAGGATGGAGAAGATGACGAAGCCGGCGAGGAGACTTGTGAATGTGTTGACGATGGCGAAGATGAGGCTGTCTCTAGACATTCGAGGGGAGAGAAGAAGATCAATGAACGATGAAAAAATGTTGATGGTAAGGTAAAACACCAAGTGGCAAAATAATGCATGTTAGAGATAAAGGCAAATAACTAGCGAAAATGAAACTATCTATCAATCATTCCACTGCTCTTATTTGGGTCGGGGTAGAAGATTTTCTTATACTTTTCCGCCATCTGTCTTTTTACTCTGTAGGTCTGAGTAGTTCTGAAACGAACGGACAGCCCAGTCCAATCTATGATGTCATCCATCCAATGACGTCTTTACCTTTCCTTCCAGTACTGGCAATGTCCCCTGCGTTATTATTTTGGATATGCCGTTGGTTCGTGCGACACGCTCATGGCATCTCATATTATTTTTTGTTGTTTTGTTTTGAATATGCTCAGTAGACTCTAAAAGCGACCAATCGCATTAATTATCTTTTTATGAACTAAATGAAACACAGGTTGGTGGTAAAGGCCAAACTGATTAGGGAAATTAAAAAAAAAATTCTACCTGAAACAGTTGTGATGAAATTTGTTGTAGCTCCCCAATGCTGTCAAGGTACCCAGCGAGATGGAGTAGGAGAAGAATATTTGTGTGCCAGCATCTACCCAAACCTGTACAAAAATAACTGTTAAAATAGTTTATTATAGACAAACCTTACCCATACTTGTACAACAATAACGGTTAAAATAGTTTATCATAGACAAGCATTCACCCATATCTTTACAACGGCAACGGTTAAAATAGTTTACTACAGACAATAATAGCAAGTGACAAAACATCTAAAGATAAGAACATAATAAAAGTTCTCCGGCAGATCGCTGGCAAACATGACCGGCCCAAGTAAATGTCGACCAGGTAGCCGACTGATCGCTGGCAAACATGACCGGCCCAAGTGAATGTCGACCAGGTAGCCGACTGATCGCTGGCAAACATGACCGGCCCAAGTGAATGTCGACCAGGTAGCCGACTGATCGCTGGCAAACATGACCGGCCCAAGTGAATGTCGACCAGGTAGCCGACTGATCGCTGGCAAACATGACCGGCCCAAGTGAATGTCGACCAGGTAGCCGACTGATCGCTGGCAAACATGACCGGCCCAAGTGAATGTCGACCAGGTAGCCGGCTGATCGCTGGCAAACATGACCGGCCCAAGTGAATGTCGACCAGGAGGAAGTTTCTTTGACGCCGCGCCACCAAAAATATTTTGGTGTTGTGGCGCCCCTAATATTTTGGTGTTGTGGCGCCCCTAATATTTTGGTGTTGTGGCGCCCCTAATATTTTGGTGTTGTGGCGCCCCTAACGATTCGGCCCCCCTCCCCACTGGGACAGTCATTAACCTGCCCAAGATTGCCTTCAATTAGTCAATCATTTGTTGGAGGAGTAATTCTTAATTAGTTATTGTTTTAATTAGGTTTAGTTTTAACATGTAATGCACATTTTAATAATAGTCGTCAGCTTATGGGCACAGAGCCGCACTTGGCTCTAAGTCTAGGTACAATCAGCCATTTTTAATTAGCTTTATGTAATATCTACTTACACATCAATGCAAAATGTTTACAGAAAAAAACGTACAAAGTAGTATCTAATATATTTGGTAACAGTACTAAAAAATAAATTCTAACATACAGTTACTCTTTAGGATCGGGCGGTTCTTGGATGAATTGGTCTATGCTCTGCAGATCTGCAGGTGCCCCATATAGTTTTTCCTTAAATGGGGTGTGTAGGGGCCAGTGTTTGGATTGCACCTGGCTGTATAAGGAGCAGTCCTTCATGTTTCTATAACCTATTCATGTAAGAGCTAGTGTTCTCTATGCACCGTCGCCATTACTATCCCTAACGTCAGTGTACCCATCATAGCAGGAAGGCAGTCACGATATCTAGCCACGGATCTTTCAGATGGGCCGTCCTGCGCTCTACCGTTCAATCATGTCGCCCCACCATAACTTCCATTGATTCCTTCAAACTGTTTATCATACTTACCGACCTGCCTATTCAAGCCTAGACCTAATGATCTACCAATCTGTCTATCACCTAATGACTTACACGACGAAGATAGTGTCCAGTTACTTTAAAAGACATGCTAACCCTCACTTAGTCGGCTACATTATATAATCCGATTTCTGAGGTTACCTGAGCATCGGCAAGGCGCTCCCACTTGGGGTCGAGGTAATACAACAGCCCCTGGGTGGACCCCTCCAGCGTGACGCCCCTGACTAGTAAGATGAACATGAAGACGTAAGGGCTACTGGCAGTGAAGTACATGACCTGGGGACGTTAAAACATTTGGCCAGTTCAATACAGTAAAAATCCATTTCAGAACAACAAGTCTTTAGGTAGATGAAGTAGAGTATATTTATTTTTACCTCAACATACCTTGAACCAAACTTTAGAGTTTTAAGGTTATTAATCGTGTGCTCTGACGCTTGATTATATTTTATGCTACTTAAATCAACGCAAGACGCTGCTATTAGACAATATACAAAATATAAATATACAACGTAATATCCCGACTGCGGAAATTGATTAAAATAGGTATTGAAACGTCATAAAATGGTAAGAAGTCATACAATAGTGTGATCATAAGTGGGAGATGTCAGCAGTAGCTAGGTCATAGGATGGCTGGAGATCTTGCCATAGTACACACACGCCACTAGTTCCCATATGTTGATCGCTTTTCACCTCTACCACTTAAAAAGTCATGGTTCAATAAAGACAATCAGGTGTCACATGGATTTTAATAAAACAAATATAATAAAGCTTTATAGCAAAAAGCTTTTAATTACACGAAAATTGAAAATAAAACTGATCTGCTTTCTTTCATAAAAGCTTTGGTCGCTAAATTATATAAAAAATGTCAAACCAAACCTTTTATGAAAATAAATCGGGAGTGATCTCCCCTAAACTTTCTCGAACATTCTTATATAACTTGGAATATAGACATGATTTTTAATAACTTAAACTTTTAAAAATAGAATAGAATCTCATTGAAAAAAGAATTGCGCACCAAGCGAACGCCAAAACAAAATGTGCATAAAAGTGCGCAATATTATTAGTACTTTATAAATTTACATGCGTTTTTTGAGAAATCGGAAATAGCGTAAATTAGTACTTCCGGTCAACGGAAATTGCTCAAAATTTGACAGAAGGTAGAGAATTAGATCTTTTATTTACTTTTGAAATTTCATCTATCTATCTGAAATAGTACTCAAGTTATAGGCTTTTGAAAAATTCAAAGTAGAAAAAGTACCACTTTCGGTTATCGGAAATAGCTCAAAAGTTGATACAGATCTACGATTTTGATAAAATACTTATATATGAAATTTCATCAACCTAGCTTTAACGGTACTCAAGTTATCGTGTTTACACACAGACAGACACACAGACATACTGACAAGATTGCAAAATTATGTTTATCCGTATCAGTGAGGTGTAAAACGTCGAGATTTGTAAAAATCTCGATTTTTTTTTGCACGATTACAAGACTTTCTCTATACTTCGTATATACGAGAAAGTAAAAAGCAGATTAGTTTTATTTTCTTAGTTTCTGCGCATTTAAAATCTTGTTGCTGTAAAGGGTGTTTATACTTTTTATAATGTTTCTACTGATTCCTATTTAATGAAGACGACACGACTAAAAATATTTGTCTTAAAACACAAACGTTATCTGAAAGACGTTTAACTTCCACATGAAAGCAGCCGTCCTTGGAAATATTTTATAGACGACAGTAAGTTCTTCATCTTGTTACCTCCCCTTAGTTTAAAATCGTTTAAATATTTTATTATCTGCCCTTAATAGCCTTCACCAGACTGTTAAGGTGATTGCGTCTAGCTAGTTATCTCCCCTTTTGTTATTGAATATAGTAATTACCGAGTGATTTAATTTTGTTATCTCCCCTTAGTTCAGAAAACGGGTAATTAATTTAAAATGACGAATTAAATATCTAATTAAATTTAAAAAGCTAGACTTGTATTATCATTGAAGTGGAAGGAAATCGCTGCATTATAAGTCGGTTAAAATTGATTGACAAGATTTGCCACAAACCCACAAACAAACAAATAAACAAGCAAAAATGAATTTTTAAAATATTTAAATTGCGTATTTCTCTTTAAAATGTATAAACTTTTGAAATAAAATGTTGTCTACTGGGTTCGAGTTTACCACCTACTTACCTTCCCTGACGACTTAATCCCTTTACAGATGCAGACGTAGACGATGACCCAGGCCAGCAGCAGACACAGGGCGTTGTCCCACTTGATGGTACCTGGTTCTCCTACCCCAGAGGACAGGCCCAGCACTTTACGTCTGGTGGGGGGTATAAAAGTAGTCTTAGGACAGGTCAAGTACTTTACGTCTGATGGGGGTATAATAGTAGTCTTAGGACAGGCCCAGCACTTTACAGACATTAATCTTAAGACAGGCCCAGTACTTTACGTCTGGTGGGGGTATAAAAGTAATCTTAGGACAGGCCAGTACTTTACGTCTGGTGGGGGGTATAAAAGTAATCTTAAGACAGGCCAGTACTTTACGTCTGGTGGGGGTATAAAAGTAGTCTTAAGACAGGCCAAGCACTATACGTCTGGTGGGGGTATAAAAGTAATCTTAAGACAGGCCCAGTACTTTAGTCTGGTGGGAGTATAAAAGTAATCTTAAGACAGGCCCAGTACTTTACGTCTGGTGGGGGGTGGGGGTAAGACAGACACTAATCATAAGACAGGCCCAGTACTTTACGTCTGGGGTGGGGTGTAATGTAGACACACATCTTACGCTTACACGTACTTACACTTTAACGTATTACAAGCACATACATTTTTAAAATAAAACTTACACTTAAAAGTGCTTACAGAGTTAACCTATTAAATTTACACGTGCATAATTTAAACTAAAGCCTAACACACGCGTCTACACTAAAAAATAATCCATAGGTGTGAGTTCGCTTACATTTAAACATAACCTTTTGTCATATTTGCATACAGTTTAAGCATAAGTCGTGCATTTACATGACAATAAATTCAATACACAGCCTTTGAATTAACATTAGCAAACAAATGACATTCAAAACTAAACGTCAATTAGTTTGAACGGACCACATTAAAGTCAAGGGGGAGTGAGAGAAACAGCTGTTGTGCACTGCAATAAAATAAATTCTTTGACTGTTGATCTTGTTTATCGCTACATGAGAAGTTCTATACAAATAAAAACTACTGATATGCAAATATAGTATGTTATAAATTAGACCACGCACACACACTTACTGCTGTAGATGATTTAGAAGTAGAGAAAGTAGCAATATATTATGAAGGTGTTAAAACTAACTAAAAATTGAAGATGGATTATTGCAAAAGCAAAACTTACTCCCAAAATTCCGTGACAGGATCTGACGTCATGGCCTTGGGAATAATCTGGAACATGCCCCCGGTTCCGTTGTCCAGTAGTTGCGTGACGTCAGAGATCCCGCCCACGCCGAGACTGTCCGAGACGTTGAAGGAAGTTTCCAGAACGCCGCCCAGCGACACGTTCGGGAGGTTCACATTGCCGCCGGACACGTTGCTGAAGGTCAAGGTCGGGGCATCGAACGTGGAGCAGTTGGGCGTGTTCCAGGCGTTGTGGCAGTGGGACCAGGGGAGGGTGGGGGTGAAGGAGGCGAAGATGTAGTAGAACGCCCAGGAGAGGATGATGTTGTACTCACAGTTGAGGAGAAACACGATGACGGCGGTGGCGTAACCAATACCTGCACATAGAAAATTTGGATCCACTCAGATAAAGAAACGGGATAGGACGTAACCAATACCTGCACATAGAAAATTTGGATCCACTCAGATAAAGAAACGGGATAGGACGTAACCAATACCTGCATACAGAAAATTTGGATCCACTCAGATAAAGAAACGGTACAGGACGTAACCAATACCTGCATACAGAAAATTTGGATCCACTCAGATAAAGAAACGGTACAGGACGTAACCAATACCTGCATACAGAAAATTTGGATCCACTCAGATAAAGAAACGGGATAGGATGCAACTAATACTTAAGTACAGAAAATTTAAATTCACTCAGATAAAGAAAAGGGATAGGACATACGCTTAGCAAGTCAACGACCAACAAAGCGTTATAAACCCTTGAATGGAATTCCCAGTAGTGAAAGAAGAAAGACGCAGGCCGTAAACAGTTTGTGAAAGGAAGTTTTGCATAAACTGGTATCAGAAAGATAAGTTACAGCTGGAAACATTTGGAAAAATTCGCAGAGGAATTATAAGTTTCAACTGGGGACATTTGGAGAATTTAGAAAAAGAAAAGCCAGTTAGCACTGAACATTTGGAGAAACGAGTCCAGGACTGAGTTGCCTGGAAGAATTTTGTCGGCATCCTGTATTAAACCAGAACGACAGGCCAGCTACTACTACATTGTTACTTCAGTTGTTTTTGCAGACCTTCAATTTTGATAGTAACGATGTATAGAACTCACATACATTGGAGCAATATTGACAAATGGGCGTTGGTATTCATTACTTGTGGTCAAGGCTGCTTTTTTAATTAATGGGGGAGGGGGTTACACGTTTCTAATGAATATCAATTAATCTTCAAATATTGCAGATTTTAGTAAATTTTGTCAAATCGAAAAAAGACAAAAAAAAAAAGATCTATAAGGTTTTAAAAAAATCCAGTTCATATTTCATTTTAGAATTTACATCATCAGGCAAAATAAAAATTATGTATATGCATCGAACATTAACATTAATTAGTGTTAAGAATCACCTAGGCCGTTATAAATATACATTACTTGTCAACACAGCCTTGACATTGAAGTCGTTTAATGTATGTAAACAGATACAACACCCGCAGCCATAGCAGTTTCAGTAGATGACCCGCTTACACCCAGCACGATTCGGGGCACGAGGCACGATTCGGGGCACGAGGCACGATTCGGGATACGAGGCACGATTCGGGGCACGATTCGCGGCACGATTCGGGATACGAGGCACGATTCGGGATACGGGGCACGATTCGGGATACGGGGCACGATTCGGGATACGAGGCACGATTCGGGATACGGGGCACGATTCGGGATACGGGGCACGATTCGGGATACGGGGCACGATTCGGGATACGGGGCACGATTCGGGATACGAGGCACGATTCGGGATACGGGGCACGATTCGGGATACGAGGCACGATTCGGGATACGAGGCACGATTCGGGATACGAGGCACGATTCGGGATACGGGGCACGATTCGGGATACGGGGCACGATTCGGGGCACAAAGCACGATTCAGGATACGAGGCACGATTCGGGTACGATTCGGGATACGAGGCACGATTCGGGATACGAGGCACGATTCGGGATACGAGGCACGATTCGGGATACGAGGCACGATTCGGGATACGAGGCACGATTCGGGATACGAGGCACGATTCGGGATACGAGGCACGATTCGGGACACGATTCAGACAACAATTCGGAACACGAAAATGGTAAAATATTTGTTTCCTTATTGTGGTTGCTAAACTTAAATGTATGGTGAAATGTGCGTTGTTTGTGATACATTAGAAGACTGACTTTAAGCTCCGTAATTTTTTTTTAATTTCATCTCCTTACAGGAAGTGCGGTGCTTGAAAACAGCTGTAGAAAAATGAGTAATTTCTCGCTCGGCATTCTCCAACAGTCAAGTTGTATGTGACGTTGTCTTGATAAACAATGCAAATGGCGCCCTAGCTACATCGATTCGGGCGCCACCACATGGTGAAATCTATTGTTCAAAAGTTCTTTCATGGCTTAAAGTAATGTATGCACATAAATGTGAATATTTTTGGTCATGACAAAAGAGTATAGAATTTTCTTTAAAAATGTCAAAAAGGTATTGTGAAACACACCACCTGTTTAGGATGTACATAGACAAGTTTCTAAGGGGAGGTCACTCTCTGAGTCATGGCATGGAGATAATACAACATTACATTTAAAAAAAAAATGCTAATATTGTTACACGAGCCGACCCGCGGCGTATCATACGCCGCTATTTAGTTGTTTTATTTTCTACTTTTCAGTAATTCATAATTTGTGAATTCAACAGTACCAATGCTGCCATTGAAAATATTTGCTTTAAAACACTACCCCCCCCTTTTTCCCTCAACCCCTATACCCCCCTCCCCACCCCCCCCCCCCGTGAAAGCAGCCTCCTCTTAGTTACCTCCTCTAAGTTTAAAATCGTTTCAAACTAAATTATCTGCCCCTAATAGCCGTCACTAAACCCGTCTCTACGAATGTAAACATTTAGAGTGAACACCGCTCACCAGACCATGTAAGGGTGGGGGTGGTAGTGATAGAGAGGAAGAGAGGGGACTGCAAGGCGCGCTTGCAGCTTGTTTTCTAACGTCTCCCAGAAGAGAATTATATATATAGATACTTGTTAAATTTTCATTATTTACTATAAATTGTTGATTAATCTTTTAACTATATGTATTAAAATATTTCTCTTTTCTTTCACAACACTGGTGAGTAATTTTATATTAAAGTACGCATTTCTTGACCATACAATGGAGATTGGTGAATGTAGGCCCCTAAACGCTGGGACCGATTATTGCAAGCCTTCAAAGAGGGGCGCTATGTTCCACGGAGCCATGTTAAATTGACTTTTAAAAATTAGTGTCATTGTTTCCCTATAATATTTAGATGTGTGTTTTTAGCTGTGACTGACAACCTCTGACCTTTAAAGAGGGGCGCTATGTTCCACGGAGCCATGTTAAATTGACTTTTAAAAATTAGTGTCATTTTTCTACTTGAATATTTACATGTAATTTGTTAGCTAGGACTGATCACCACCGACCTTTAAAGAGAGGCGCTATCTTCCACGGGCCGATGCCGCCCTCGCTCATAAACTGTCCGAGGGCAACTTCCAGGAAAAACATTGGGATACCTCCAAGGAAGACGGCGATGAAGTATGGAACCAAGAAGGCACCTGCAAGACAAATACATCGCCCGTTAGATTTAAAAGTAGATCTATATCATAAGTAACTCTACGAGAAAACAGTACATAAATACAAATCAAGAATTCACATTTTCATTTTTCGGACACAGTTAACTAAGGTTGCAAAATCTTTTCAATTATTGTAACTGAATAGCAACATACGTACAGCTATAAATAGTCTAAAGAATTCCCTTACCTCCAGATTTTGTAACAAACGTATTGCTATAAATAGTCTAAAGAATTCCCTTACCTCCACATTTTGTAACAAACGTATTGCTATAAATAGTCTAAAGAATTCCCTTACCTTCCATTTTGTAACAAATGTACTGCTATAAATAGTCGATAGAATTCCCTTACCTCCACCATTTCGGTAACACAGGAACGGGAATCTCCACACGTTGCCAAGACCAACAGAAAACCCGATGCACGCGACGAGAAAGTCCAGTTTCTTGGCCCATACCTCGCGTGTCCGGAGCTTTGGCCGGCGTCGTCCGCCGCTGGACACCTCCACCTCATGGCCGTGGTCCATCTTCAGTACCTCCCTATCCATCCCCTGCTTGCCTGTCAATGACAACTAATTGTTTACGGGGGAGAAAACCACGACAAACTAGGCTTCCTCGGCCTACTACTGTTTGATAGTTAATTAACATTTCCGCTGCGCTGAGAGGTAACATAAACATAAAAACTTGTCGTGAATGACAGGAACCTACTTACTGTGACCTACTAGAGGAATCACCGACTTAATTTATTGGTCCATTATACTTAAAACTGTTATGGTATTTACAAAAATTCAACCCCTTTTCGTTGGAGTATATCAACGTATTCACAAAATATGTTATTAGTATTTTCGTTATGTTTTAAATGCAAATCATGCATATGAATCTACATAAAAATTATAATTTCTTATTCTGCTAGGCTAAAGACCATGTCGAATTATATTTACTTTCTTTTAAAATCATTTCTTCTTTCTTCGTTCTTGATTTTATAATTGGAGATCTCTTCCAAAATAATTAAGTGTTACGTGTCAACATGTTAGGCATTATATATTTAGTCCGTTGACATCGACTTCAGCTTTTATTTCTAAATGTGCTACCACTGATTAATATATAAATATGGTGGATATAAATTCTGTTTTAAAATACCAACGAAATACAAGTATCGAATTAACATTTTATAATTAATTAGTCATTTGTTAATTACACTTACAATTATAAGCAATACAAACCCCTTACACTTTATTATATCTATAAAAAATTAATCCGTTAAAGTGGATGATCCACCACATCAGAAAACATAACTATATCTGACGAAGATTATCGGCGAAAGTATTAATACTGTCTAACAAAGATGCCGTGTGCCTATCTAAACAGCCTAGCACTGTGCTACACACTATGTTGTACATCTTCCTATTTATGACTTAAGGCGGCGAGGTAACTTTTTAATGAGTGCTGTATTTTCAAAGGTTCTAAATATGTCTCCGGCCAATCCGCGCATTGGCCGGCCAATCCGGGGTTTGGCCGCACTTCGGGCTTTGACCGTAACATATACACTAATGGCTACCAATCCTGGTTCTACTGCACTTACCAGGCTTTCATAGACGCTTTAATAATCCGGCCTTAATGACCGGCTTAAATAACCCATTTTCAAAAATTGACGTGTACAAACATCTGTTTATTTAAGATGTCTTTCTAAAAACCGGCTCCTGAAGTGCGACTCCTGAAAACCAGCTACTGAAGACCAGCTTCTAAAGACCGGCTCCTGAAAACCAGCCTCTGAAAAGCGGCTCCTGAAAAGAGGCTCCTGAAGACCGGCTTCCAAATATAGGCTCTTGAAAACCGGCTCATGAAAACCGGCTCCTGAAAACCTGCTCCTGAAGACCGGCTCCTAAAAACCGTTTTTTAGACCGGCTCCTAAAAACCGGCTCCTGAAGACCGGCTCCTAAAAACCGGTTTTTATAGACCGGCTCCTGAAAACCGGCTCCAACAAAATAGATATCCAAACGTCTAACTGCTACTAACCAAGTCACGTTAACAATACAGAAGCTGTGGGAAAATAAAACAAAGTTATTTATAGTTCAGGTTTTGACTCAACATGGAAACTTTTTGAGAATCCCAGAGTCAGACAATCTCCAGATTTTCAATTAGTTCTGCTTACATGATCTAATTAAAAAAATAAGTAGTGTAGTCCAACCTCCGTGTATTTTAGCACGCCACCGAAGACAAGTGCTGGATACAATTAGAAATGTTAATTCGTGCGCTTATATGCTATGTGCAGACACTGCATTATTCTGTGGCACGCGTAGGAGATAGTGGTATTGGTAGCAGGCAGACAATCTGAGGCAAGATCTGACAGGATGGCAGGCAGACAATCTGAGGCAAGATCTGACAGGATGGCAGGCAGACAATCTGAGACAAGATCTGACAGGATGGCAGGCAGACAATATTAGACAAGATCTGACAGGATGGCAAGCAGACAATCTGAGGCAAGATCTTATTGACAGGATGGCAGGCAGACAATCTGAGGCAAGATCTTATTGACAGGATGGCAGGCAGACAATCTGAGGCAAGATCTGACAGGATGGCCGGCAGACAATCTGAGACAAGATGTTATTGACAGGATGGCAGGCAGACAATCTGAGGCAAGATCTTATTGACAGGATGGCAGGCAGACGATCTAAGGCAAGATCTGACAGGATGGCAGGCAGACAATCTAAGGCAAAATCTGACAGGATGGCAGGCAGACAATCTGAGACAAGATCTGACAGGATAGCAGGCAGACAATCTGAGACAAGATCTGACAGGATGGCAGGCAGTCAATCTGAGACAAGATCTTATTGACAGGATGGCAGGCAGACAATCTGAGGCAAAATCTGACAGGATGGCAGGCAGTCAATCTGAGGCAAGATCTTATTGACAGGATGGCAGGCAGACAATCTGAGGCAAGATCTGACAGGATGGCAGGCAGTCAATCTGAGGCAAGATCTTATTGACAGGATGGCAGGCAGACAATCTGAGGCAAGATCTGACAGGATAGCAGGCAGACAATCTGAGACAAGATCTGACAGGATGGCAGGCAGACAATCTGAGACAAGATCTTATTGACAGGATGGCAGGAAGACAATCTGAGACAAGATCTGACAGGATGGCAGGCAGACAATCTGAGGCAAGATCTTATTGACAGGATGGCAGGCAGACAATCTGAGACAAGATCTTATTGACAGGATGGCAGGCAGACAACCTGAGGCAAGATCTGACTGGATGGCAGGAAGACAATCTGAGGCAATATCTGACAGGATGGCAGGCAGACCATCTGAGGCAAGATCTGACAGGATGGCAGGCAGACAATCTGAGGCAAGATCTGACAGGATGGCAGGCAGACAATCTGAGGCATGATCTGACAGGATGGCAGGCAGACAATCTGAGGCAAGATCTTATTGACAGGATGGCAGGCAGACAATCTGAGGCATGATCTGACAGGATGGCAGGCAGACAATCTGAGGCAAGATCTTATTGACAGGATGGCAGGCAGACAATCTGAGACAAGATCTTATTGACAGGATGGCAGGCAGACAATCTGAGGCATGATCTGACAGGATAGCAGGCAGACAATCTGAGGCATGATCTGACAGGATGGCAGGCAGACAATATTAGACAAGATCTGACAGGATGGCAGGCAGACAATCTGAGGCAAGATCTGACAGGATGGCAGGCAGACAATATTAGACAAGATCTGACAGGATAGCAGGCAGACAATCTGAGGCATGATCTGACAGGATGGCAGGCAGACAATATTAGACAAGATCTGACAGGATAGCAGGCAGACAATCTGAGGCATGATCTGACAGGATGGCAGGCAGACAATATTAGACAAGATCTGACAGGATGGCAGGCAGACAATCTGAGGCAAGATCTGACAGGATGGCAGGCAGACAATCTGAAACAAGATCTGACAGGATGGCAGGCAGACAATATTAGACAAGATTTGACAGGATGGCAGGCAGACAATCTGAGGCAAGATCTGACAGGAGGGCAGGCAGACAATCTGAGACAAGATCTTATTGACAGGATGGCAGGCAGATAATCTGAGGCAAGATCTGACAGGATGGCAGGCAGACAATCTGAGACAAGATCTGACAGGATGGCAGGCAGACAATCTGAGGCAAGATCTGACAGGATGGTAGGCAGACAATCTGAGGCAAGATCTTATTGACAGGATGGCAGGCAGACAATCTGAGACAAGATCTGACAAGATGGCAGGCAGACAATCTGAGATAAAATCTGACAGGATGGCAGGCAGACAATCTGAGGCAAGCTCTTATTGGTAATGGTATTGAAGAAAGTAAGACTTCTTCATATTTTAGCCAAATGGACAATTTGAATTGAAACAATAACAACCGACTACTAGTGTTTTGTATTCCATACGTGATTGTTAAATTTCGTCAATTTTTGGCACATGTTCTGTCAAATTCTATACAAGACTGCATGGTTGAATTCAAAGAACGCGTAAAATCTACGCAACCTAACCCATCTTCTTTTACCTAGTCCCCCATCCCCAGCCTAGCAGACTTAAAACCTGCTTGTTCGTATTTCAAAACAGAAAAACAGACAGAGACAGACATGCAGACAGACGAATAGACGGACCGACGGACGTATGGTTAGAAAGACAGTCGACCGACCAACCATCCAAATAAGCAAACAACGACAGCCAGACGCAATATTCTATTTATTATAACCGTTATATCATTGCTTAAAGTATTCCTAAACCATTCCATTATATCATCGCTTCAACCATTCCATTATATCATCGCTTCAACCATTCCATTATATCATCGTTTAAAGCATTCTTCAACCATTCCATTATATCATCGCTTCAACCATTCCATTATATCATCGCTTCAACCATTCCATTATATCATCGTTTAAAGCATTCTTCAACCATTCCATTATATCATCGCTTCAACCATTCCATTATATCATCGTTTAAAGCATTCTTCAACCATTCCATTATATCATCGCTTCAACCATTCCATTATATCATCGTTTAAAGCATTCTTCAACCATTCCATTATATCATCGCTTCAACCATTCCATTTGATTATATCAACGTTTAAAGCATCCCTCAACCATTCCATTATATCATCGTTTAAAGAATTCTACCACCATTCCATTTATAACATCGCTTAAAGCATTCATCAACAATTCTATTATATCATCGTTTAAAGCATTCCTTAACCATTCTGTCAGGCTATTTATAAACATGATTGTCACTTTACCAAGGTAATCAGCATGTATTTAATTGCAAGTGTTGTCAAGAGAGGCGTGGGCGTCATTGACATACAGTGAAAGAAGCTTATCCTATAAAAGCTGATTAATTAAATGAATTACTTAATTATAATCAGGCTATTTCTTTTATCCAAGAAAAATTAAGAATGCAATTTTAACCTATTATAAACTTTAATTAACGATAATTACAATTATCTATTATAATTAATGATAATTTTAACTAACGAAATACCAGTGGCATACGGGAGACTAAACCTGGTGCTGTGCTGGTACCAGGGTTGCTGGAACAACTCTAACGTCTGCTAGACCTGACCACGTGTCAACGATAACTCTCCGTCGGAGTGTTGATCACGTGTCAACGATAACCCTCCGTATGAGTGTCTAGATGGCTTCGCCGACCACCAGTAAACTCTCGAAAATTATCTGCTCAAAACTAAGGGGGAGCAACCGTGCCAAATTAAATCTTACGAGTACCAAAGTAATGGTGGACCGTCTTTAAGCCAAACAGTAGCTTGTAGATCAGCGGCCACTAGCGGGGAGAAGATGACGTTTGCTAAATCTGCGAAATTTTTCACAAAATATGCAATTGTATTTTGGTCGAGTTTTTATGGGACGGCTTGACACAGATGTTAGAAACCCCGCCTCAATGAATAAGTGGACGTAGATTGTCTTTGTTTTTTTTTAAGTTCTAGTAATGGCGTATTGGAATCGTTCGAAACATCAAGTTTCATATATTCCTCTAGATAAATTATAAGCGATACATAAAACATTTCTTACCCGAAAGTTTTGATTTCTCCTAGTTTTGTAGCCCGCAGCAACAAAAGATCTATCTAAATCAGTGGCAAAGGAACATCGGATTCGACATAGTACTCCAGACTTTACTTACTTAGCAATCTAGACTTCACCTAACAGTCTAGACTTTTCCCAACAAACTAGACTTTTCCTAAAAATCTATACTTTACCAAACTAGCCTCTAGACTATCTAGACTTTACCTCACTATCTAGCCTTTACCTAATTAACAATATAAACATTACCTAGCAGTCTAGACTTCATCCAACCACCATACATAACAAGACACCAATACAGAAAGTATCCTGTAATATTCATGTTTTCCCTGCAACAGGTGCGTTATATATTGTACAAATGTTGTATTACGTCATTTAGAAAACTCTTTTTACTTGGCCCATTTCAAGAGGCTTCATACACATCGCCCCATATTCCCAACCATACAGAATTAACATTACCATCCTCCAACATACACTTATCTTCATTACACGAATTATGGCACCTAGAGGTACGAGTACATTTTTCCCGTAACCTTGCTCGTTGGTCAAATTAGTCGTATCTCAAAGCAATTTCTCCATTGAACTTAATTGAAATATTGAAATGATATTGATCTGTTCCAGCCCCCAAAATGCAATCACAGTTGTTGTTTTTTAAAATGTTTTTCAACACGAAAAGTGTATAGGCCTGTATATAAGACAAATATTGTTTAATGACATAATACAGGATAATGCAAAAAATTTCTGATTTCGTGAAATGAATTTTACTTGAAAATCAGCTGACTTGAGCTTACGGAAAATGCCTGTTAATGCTAAGCTCTTTATGTCATTTTAATACACGTAATCGTTTCACTCTCAACGCTACACTTTATCCCTAAACTTAACAGAAATTAAACTCCATCGAACATAGTTGAACCTAATTGTTACAATATAATGTTTTGTTACTTTCGCTTCATTTTCGTCAATGGTTTTTTCTTCGCTGGTCAAGTTTTTTCGCCACGCTTTCCGAACTTTTCCACGCAAACCGTTTTAATAAACCCGTCAAATAAGACTTGTTCCGGAAATTAGTTTAGTAAGTTTAAATAGCCCCGATGCACAATCAGTTGCAGCTTTTTCGGGGCGTTTCTTTTCCTCGAAATGTTAAAAACGTTAACTAGTTTACTCGTATCTCAAATTTTGCTTGCATGTCAAAGCACATTTTAGTTTTTTCGACAGCTCGTATCATAAAAATCTAGTATGTCGTGGTACTTGTATCTTGAAGTACCACTGTATAGGCTCATTGAGTGAGTTACAAAAGAAATATATTTTTTTATGTCGCTTTCTATCTACTGTCAAACTTTAGATGTCACATAAATAACATAAGCATTAACATTAAATATATATATATATATATATATAAACTTAAAACAAATAAGAATCTTTCTTTTATAACCCAAGAATCATAGCAACCCCCAATTCTCATATACACCCAGATAATAAAAAGATAAACATAAATCATTCTTTCCCGTTCGCTGTTTATTGAATGTATCCAACCCAATAGACAAAGCCAAGGGAGGGAAAAAGACTTCGCTTAGACTAGCTATTAAAACAGGAATAGGACTTTATGCACATGTTTATATCTGTTTATGCTTATACAAACAAAACAAGAATAACTAATGTGATACCTGAGTGAATGTCAACCTGATACAGACCTCTCAACCTCGTTTTGCACCTAAATTTCCACACGTGACACAATACTTAGACTAACGTAAACATGTACACATGTGACATAATAATTAGAATAAAGTAAATTTTTACACATATGACGTAATACTTAGAATAAAGTAAACTTTATACATGTGACATAATACTTGGAATGAAGTAGACGTGCATGTATAAATTAGCAGCAGCCCGCTGCTCCTATACATATATGAGGGGCAGGGGGTACAATAAATTCGTCTTTGGTAGCCGAGTTGTGTAGCAATGTCTATGGATATTAGAAGCTAAACTATACATACACTACATTACGTCTCAACCATTGTGAATAATGTGAGGCACAGCGAGTTGTTATTTTATAGATAAATATTGACAAAAAATCTATAATTGTTAAAATAAAAAATAGATCAATATTCAACGCTTAAGGGTCTAACTCATTTTTAAAAAAAAAATTAATATTTCAGTTATTTAATTTTAGTTAAACAGACGCGACGAGCAGACCCACGTCAACTTGAATCCGACAAAAGACCATGTGACAAAAGGGTTCCGAATTACAAAGATAATGTTAAAAAAAAGTAACTTTTTAATAAAATAAACACACAAGGGTCCCCAGGCCCTTTAAGCTTATATACACTAGTCAATACGACGGCCCTGGGTGTCAGGTGACACACTGTAACGTTTTTTACCAAACTATACATAAAAACCTGCACAATATATATGTGGGGGTTTCTTTGATCATAATATCATTTGGGCCAAGCTGTTTACAAGGATGAATAAGTCATAATAATATGAGTAGGCCTATACACACATTCCCATGTGCATAATCTTATTATTCTGATGATTAATAAGATAGAATACTGCGTGTCGTATAATTTATAATGTAAGATAAACTAATATGAGTAGGCCCATACACACATTCCCATGTGCATAATCTTATTATTCTGATGATTGATAAGATAGAATACTGCGTGTCGTATAATTTATAATGTAAGATAAACTAATATGAGTAGGCCCATACACACATTCCCATGTGCATAATCTTATTATTCTGATGATTGAGAAGATAGAATACTG